CCCCCCCCCCCCCCCCCATACACACACACACACACACACAGAAGGGGTGGGATTCAAATTTCTTAACTGATTCTTCAGCGTGGCCTAATTTGTGGGTGTGGCTTGGTCATGTGACTGGCTAGGCATGGCTTGTATGTAAATATTATAAATATTTAGGTAAATATTGAATTTTTTATTTAAAAAAGAGCAGCTTTTACCCAAAATCAGGCAAAGCAGGCAGGCAGATTGAGTTGCTCTCAGAATCACAGATTCACTCAGAGATCTGTGTTTCTGCCGTCGGCTATCTGAGTCTGTCACATAAAATTTGCTAGCAAGCAAACTCAAAATTAACTCACAACACACCATGGATGTAAATATTGGATTTTTTATTTTAAAAAAAATCAACTTTTACCCAAAATCAGGCAAAGCAGGCAGGCAGATTGAGTTGCTCACAGAATCACAGATTCTCTTAGAGATCTGTGTTTCTGCCATTGGCTATCTGAGTCTGCACTGAATAATAGAACCTTCAGTCCTAAGGGAGGTTTGGCTTTAAAAGCAGAGCCGAAATTCTAAAGATTAGCTAGAAAGCAAGAAATACAATGATTTCCTGCTTTTTAGGTAATCTAAACCTCCCAGCACAGCAGAATAGCTGATGTTCGGGGAAAAAAAGGAAAAATAGCAACTTAGCAGGCAAGTTTGCTGAGTAAGGAATGAGTGGGCAGGGAGGGTTCCCGCAGGCCCTATGGGCGGCGCAGCCTTGTGTTCCCGCGTAGCCTGGATTAATTGTTTCTGGGGGTGCTTTGGGGGTGAAATTTTCTTGCGGACCACCAGTGGGCCACGGCCCATTGGTTGGCGACCACTGCTGTAAACCACCTAGGGAGGACTGTAAAGCACTGTGAAGTGGCATATAAGTCTAAGTGCTATTGTTATTGCTATGTAGCCTCCCATCTCACCCAAAGGGGGGACCTGTACAATAATAAGCTAACCTAAAAAGCTACAGTAATAAATAATATAAAAACAAAAACACTAACCCTTGGCGAAGGGAAGATAAAAATGACTCTGTCAGCAATAAAGCCATCAAATTCCAGATTCCTTTGGAACCATAGGCCTGTCAGCATAACCAGGTGCTGAGGGCTTTTCAAAATATCAAAAGGGATGGGCCAATCTAATTTCAGGGGGAAGGATGTTCCATAAGGCAAGGATCACAGTAGAGACCCACCTGGGAGCCACCAGATGTGGGTTCCTAGCTGATCTTACTTGCACCCATCCCTTCACTCAGAGATCTAAATGGAGTGGGCTAACCTGGGAGGGGTGTTCCCTCAGAAAAGCCTTTAAAAAAAATTAATTGTGATTTTCAAGTAGCTCTCATCACCTTATCAAATTTATGTAGATTTACTAGGATAGTCGTAGTTAAATGTTGTCAATCTGAGAGCAGAAGAACCAAATTCAATTCCTCCTTCTATAGAGAAAACCAGTAATGGTACAAAATGAGGTGAAGATGTAGATGTCCTAAATAATTTCCAATGTACGAAATCCATCAGGCTTCCAAAAAAAAATAAAAATGATTTTATTAACCAGTTGGTCCAAATATATTTGTCCAAAATACTTAGATATGTATTTCACATAAATAATTGAGAATATGGAAATTTGGCAAGGAAAATGCTTTATAAAAGACCAATTGAAGTAAATATGACTATTTATATGTACATGGGCATAATCCAATCTTTATACTATAAACATATGGGGTATTTTTAATGTATCATATGTAAGATGCGAGATCTAACGTCCACATAAATTTGCTGTTTTTAGATAAATGTGCTTTGTTTGGCTCTGTCGTTTTACATTCCTATACTCACATAAGCTATTATTAAAGCAAATGGCAAATTGAAGTAACTTACGGGAATTATCTCTACTATTGTTCAGTTGTTAAGACTAAAAATTGTACTTGTTTTAAGATGTTTATTAAGAGTTTTAATTGTACAGACACAGTATTGCAAAGAAAACTGCAAAGTAATTTTGGAAAAATCCTGTTTTTGTTCTTAGGAGTCTATGGGGAAAACGTCAGATGGTAAAGCTTATGTAATAACTGGACTTTGGAATCCTAATATGCCTATCTTTTTAGTCTTAAATGAAGAAACTCCTAAGGGTAAGTATGCATTTAAAATGCTATTCTGTGATCACATTATTGGAAAGGGATTAAATATATTGTGTATAGCCTTCTGTTTTAATAGCATTCTTCATACACTGCAATAGGTTGTAAGTCAATAAATATGCATTTATTTATCACACAGTAGATATTGCATTAAAAAGTCAGATCTGATGCATAAACAGAAGTGGGACATTAGAGAGAAAAGGGAAGAATAGGTGAGAGGGCAATGTTATGAATACCAATATGGAGGTAAAGAAGAGAAGAATCTCAGCAGAGTAGAAATCATAAGTTCCCAAGCATATAATGATATGAGTATACTTTATTGTTATTGCCATTTAATGTGAAATTTAATTTTCTTTGTGTGTTATAGATAAGCGTGTATACATGACTGTGGCAGTAGATATGGTAGTCACAGAAGTGGTAGAGCCAGTTCGTTTTCTGTTAGAGACACTTGTACGAGTGTATCCCGCCAATGAACGCTTCTGGTACTTCAGCAGGAAAACCTACACAAAAACATTCCATATGAAATTAAAACAGGTAATTTTTAATAAAAAGAGAAATAATTTAATGAGTTGGAGAGATATTGCATTGTCTACATATACTTTGCAAAATGCTATGTAAATTAAGTGTTGGGGGTTAAAGTTTATAGGCAAATGGAACCTGGTCGTCAATGGTACACAGGAAAAATAAATAGGGGAGAAATTCCTTTTTCAGTTGGACAATTTGACAGGTTTCTTTGAGAGCTGGAAATTGGAGGACATAATTGGAGGACATAACTGCAGATTAGTTGGATATGGTCCATCTTTATCTTTTGAACCCTACCTTCTTAACTGTAAATTAGCCAGGAGGAAATGGCTAAGGATAATAATACAGGTAGTTTTCTATTACCAACTGCAATTGGGACTGGCAATTCTATTGCTAAGTGAAGCAGTTGTAAAGTAAAATGTCACAATGATGCACTTGACATTAGTTTATCATTTCTGGCTGCAATTGTTAAGCAAATCACCATGGTTTCTTAAGCATAATACCACATGCGTGGGATTTGCAACTTCTTGTTGTTTTGCTATTTATTTATGGAATATTGAGTGTGGTTTTAGAAATTGTGTACAATTAAAATAAAAACAATCAACCAATATAATTAATCCAGTAGTGGTTTTTCCATTGAATTTGCTTATTGGAAGCTGAATATGAAAGTTGCAAATGGCAGTCATGTGACCATAGGACATGGCAACCATTTTAAATACACAATACCTATTATCTTGTAAGCGATTGACAAATCAAAATAAATAAATAAATAAATAAAAAACAGTGGTTAGGGTGAGCTCTAACCCTAACCCCAACAAATGGGAAAAATAAAAAATAACTACAAATTGGGAAAATAGTATTATATATATTGATTATATATATTATAATTGCTATAATACTATAATTATAATGAGCATATCAAGATTAGAAGTTGGAAGATAAAAACTCTTTATATGTAATTGTATCATTACTGTCAGCATTGTGTAAAAATATATTAATACATTGTCCACAAAAAACGTTGGTTGTTAAAGGAAAACTACAAATAAAATATACAACAAGTAAATACACAACAGTTGTGAAGTGCCCAAACTCTGCTGGGAGGACACTGCTGCAGACACAACTCTGAATGCTGGTTGTGAGTGCCACTTACTTAGCACAATCAAAACTGTAAATGATTGCTGAATGAACTTGTTGGTAAGTGAGGACTAACTCTAACATTGAGTCACCCCACATGTATGGGTTTTAGGCAAATTCTTAGAGAATGTGACAGACCAACTCCATGTTTTGGGTGGAAGCAAGTTATTTATATCTTTGATAATTAATGTACTGATAACTTTCCAAGTCTATATTGTAGTAAGTTATATGGGGGTCTGGTTTTGAAGAAGACCAAGCATCTTCACTTTCTTCCAGTTGCAGCAGCCCAAATTTTAAACAAGAGCTCATATTATAATTACAATTATGTAACATGCTATGATGACACACTGACTAAAACAATACTGTTTTTAGTTTTCTGGTATAATGTCTAGTTCATGGTATTCAATCTTGAATTACCATAAGTATCATAATATGCCAACACAAAATACCAATACCAAAAAGTTTCCAGTAAATAAAAAATGAGGCACATCATGGTATGCTACAAAACATTTTTTCAAATAACTTCCCTTATGCCACCAGTTTAATCATTCCTACCATCCAAAACATCAACAACTGGCTCCCTATCCTGAGAGAAACCAAACCTAGTATTGTTTACAAACACCCAACAATTCATCCCAACCTCAACACAAACTTGTAAGAGAAGTAAGAGAACTGCATGTTCATATGCAGCACCTCCATGGAAGCAGCAGGCGTCAAGGGAAATCCTCCTTAGAAAAGAAACTTTCTAGCAATCAGTAATTCTTTTGCTTTCAAATGGTGACAAACTCAAGCTCCATAAACTCTGCTTGCACTTCTGCAATAATGATAAGCTTCACAACAAAGAGTGATAGCATCAAAAGAAACTACAAACAGAGGAACAAGCACAGCTCTTAGTTCAGCGAACATGGGATCACTATCTTGCACACCTGCAGAGTCAGAAACACACCACGTGGAATTTCAGCACTCACCATGCCCAAGAAATTGTTGTGTCATTTCCCCCCCCCCCCCCCGAATAAATTGTAGTATACCCAATGAGACCTGAACATCTTTGAATAATGGCAGCCAGATACATTTAAAATTTTTATGACTCCAACATACATCTTTATGATGTTATTTGTGTTAATTTATTATTCATTTATCATTTGTATTTGTTTATTGTCCTTACAATAAGAGAGGGATAAGTTGCAAACAGTTTAATGGAAGCATATTTGAAAGTTTTGTTGAAATAAAATTTGTTCTTCAGTATTCTGCTTGCTGTCTGTAAGAGGAAGAATGCTACATAGGTCATGGACATTCTTCCGCACCCTTCTGGGCAGCTTTCTTTGCCTCATGATGCATGTCTTCTTAACATTAATTTACAAAGTCGGTTTTCTGTTCATCAAAACTGACCATTTGAAAAAGAATTACAGTAAGATTCTTGAGGCACTAATATACTCATTATTTTTTCTGTGTGTTTCTCTTTTACTTCATGGAATATATCCTATTGTGTATGAAAACTTTTCATTTTAGCATTTTGTATATGAACTGGGAGATTGATTGTTTGGAAAGCAGTAGGGTAGAGAATTTTTGTTCATAAGAATATCTGCAATGAATCTCTGGTAGCTTACTCTGCTGCTTCAGAGGTGACATGATTTGTTTGCTTTGAAAGATACAAGAGAGCCAGTTTCATCGAATCCCCCCTTTTTAGTGGTGAGGCTATATTCTAGCAAATTATATTGCTGAAAGGAAATTCTGTTTCTTGTGTCAAGAGTAAATGCAGCACATAGTTCTTTTTATTAATGCATTTATTTATAGCTTTTTTGATGCCACCTTGATGCTTTACCATATCTGAAAAATAGCTCTTTTTTTCAGATTCTGAAAGAGTTTCAAGGACTGAATGATCCTTTCAAACCTATACATCTGAGAACATTTCAACCTTTTTATTTCTAGAATGAGTGATAACATTTATAAGCTATTTTCTTATGAAAATAAATGCTAAATGTTTAATGAAACTATAGAATCCTAGTTTGAAAGTTTGTGTATATTTTAATAGGAAATTATGGGTCTTTATTCTCACAGAAGAGTTGCTAGTTTTATTTAATAATTTTATTTTAATAGTAAATCAGTGTCTTAAATAGTCTAAAAGCTGTCAGAATTTATTATGCTAAACAAAATGTGAAGGAACATTTAATTTTTAAAATTATTTTTCCATCTATATCCTTTTATTCAGACATTAATACTTATTACAACTGAGACATAGCAGAAGAAAAATTTATTTTAAATACAAGGATTTAAGACGGTATTTAGGATTTCTTGTAAATATGATAAAACTGCATACTCAAATGTACAACTTTTAAATATGGGTCAATCCTGAGTGGGGGACAAAATTAACTTTACTGCTTTTATGGCTAGATTTTTGCCACAAATGGGGCAGAGGAAATCCATTTCTGTTCTATAAGATTTCTTGATGTCATATGATACCCTTCATAACAATATCTTTCCGGGATTTATGGCTGATTATGAAACTGATTTGAGCTATTTTTGCCTTATCTGATTGAATGTTCCTGGAATACAGGTAGTCCTTGACTTAACAACAGTTTAGTTAGTGACTGTTCAGAGTTACAATGGCACTGAAAAAAGTGACTTATGACCATTTATCACACTTCCATTGCAGGATCCCCATGGTTATGTGATCAAAATTCAGATGCTTCACAGCTGGTTCATATTTATGACGGTTGCAGTGTCTGGGGGATCATGTGATCACCTTTTGCAAACTTCTGAGATGGGGAAGCCTGTTTCACTTAACCATGTTTGTAAGTGAATCAACTACAATGATTCGCTTAACAAGTGCAGCAAGAAAGGTCGTAAAATTGGGCAAAATTCACTTAACAAATATTTGCTTAGCAACAGAAATTTTAGGCTCAATTGTGGTCATAATTAGAGTAATTATGTAATTAGAGATTGGATGTGGATAACCCAAGGCTTAGTCTTAATAGGCATTATAGATAACTACTGTAATTAAAACTAGGAAAATAAATGAAGTCCAGTTTATTTTTTTGCCTTGGTCTATTTTATACCCTCATTTAGGTTTCCTTTTTTCCATTTAGCATCTTATTGTCCTACTCTCATCGCTAAAACCTTTGAAGGTTTAGACATTTTTCAGGTCTGTAAGTTAACATAACCAAGGGCGATAGAATAGTGGAGAAAGTTGACTGACATCGGAATAAAGGACAACAGGCTATTACGTATTAGCTAAATAGGCTAGTTTCTTCCTACAGTTGATCTGTACCCCTTCACCATCCATATTAGCATATCCCAGTCTGAAAATTATTTCTAATTTTACCTCTGAAAGGAGGAGGTAGTCCCAAGCTTGAACAATGAATCTCTCTAAGACATGTCCTTTTGTCTTCAGTTCCCACATGCTCCTGTCTTAGCTCCTTTCTCCTGCTGCTGCATAAGATGCCATGCATCTTGTCCTCCTTTGATTGGCAATTCGCCTGCTAGCCTTCCATATCCTCAAACCTCCCCGTACTGAAAAAGATTATGCCCTTCTGCCCAGATTTGTCATGAAGCTGAACCCCGCCCCCCGACCAGGGTTTATTAGTACATGATTAGATCCATCTCGAAAATGTAAAAGGACCTCAGTTTAAAGACTTGACTTTATGTTACTCACAATGGTAGGTCCTGTGCCACAAGTGGGATTTGGCTCAAGAATTTTTTTCAGATGTGGCATGTAAGGATTTGAGTCTTTCCTGCTGGATCTGCAGTCAAGGGCTTCGTTTGTTTGTTTCCCTTGTTTGTATGCTACCCACTCTGTAACAGATCAACAGAGTTAGAGCTGCAAAAATACGATTAATACGAAAATTGAGCTTTAAAATAGTGAAGCTACAATTTAAAGCAATAGTATGTTAAATTTTTAATTACAACAGTGAAAGAGTCTTGAGTATATAAGGACCCTGTAAGCATGACTGAGGCTTGTCCACAATAAGGATTCTGTCCCTGAGAAAATATAGCGGTTTAGTTAAACTCCTGAGATCAGAGAAGAATATGTAACTTCTTTTCTATTCAGAATTCCATATGTTCTGTCCTAGGTATAACAATTGAAAATTTGGTAACTGGATGCAATATTGTATACTTAGGGTTTCTTGAAACAGTAATTCTAGCATTGAAAAAAAGATTCATAGAAATAGCATTCTGTTTAAGCCTATTAGTTTTCCAGCAAGACAAGAATTTTTGATGGATCCCCATCAGGTCCAACCAATGGGGCTTCAAAATACTTTTGCCTCAAAGAGCAATTTTCATAAGTGGAAGTAAAATGAACAGCATAGTGATCTGGCATTATGGCAATAAAAAAAAAACTGGACATGTTTATAAGGCTAGAGAAAGCAACCTGCATCCAGGTGGTAATTTCACAGTTTGGAATTCCCTCTATTAAATATCCATCTGTGCACATGTGTCCTCTGTTAAATACCTATAAATTATGTATAGGATATGCTATATAGAGCTATATAATCTCCTTTAAATGAATAATTGAATTGTGGAATTCTGTTAAGGAAGATTCATCTAGAACCTTTTTTTGTTGCTTTTTAGGCATCAGTCAGGCTGTCTTGTACACTTAGATTTTGGGAGGTAACTTGATATATTCTTTATTTTGATTTAACCATCATTATACTTTGTAATATTGCATTGAATGACTACCTGGGAGTTGGCCTTACTATTAGGGTGCAGAGCCTGCTTCATGCAGTGTATTTTGAGTATGTTGAACAGACAGTGAATCTTTTGTTAGTAACTTAGCATTATGCTACATTTTTACTCCTCAGAATAGACAGTGAGTTTATAGATTTTCTGCTTAATGAATATGGCTGGATATTTTGAATGGGTGCTTTCTCTTCTCAGTTTAAGGCAACAAAATGTTTCAGATAGAAAAATAAATTATTTGCTAAGTGGGCTGCATTATTCCTTATTCTGTTTGTTTTAATTTCTATTTTGAATGGTTACTCTTTTTCTTTTTGTATTCTTAGCATATCAAACTTCAAATTAGCTACAGTGTTAGCAAGCAACAGTAATGGCTTAATGTAGTCAAACCAATATAATTTGTTTTACTCGTTAGTTTTTTTCATTCTTATATAGGGAAAATTGAACAATTGTTTTAGTATTTAGAGTTGCTTAGGCTAAATTATGTTTTTTGTCATTTGTATTTAGTGTGAAGGGAAAGGCAGTATAAATGCTGGCGATTCAATCTATGAAGTCTTGAGTCTACACTGCAATTCTGAAAGAGAGGAAGAAGCAGTTAGTCCATTAAGTTTTGCTGATCAAATTTCTTTGCAAGAGGATGATGCTGAAGAGGGTGAGAGTAAAATGGACTTACGTATCTTGGTTCCATAATAATGGGATAAGATTATTAGAGTTATGGATGTCTTAAAATCATGAGCTGATCCTGTTCTTTCCCCAGGACGTGGATGCTGAAGTTTCCCAGTCTAGCATCTGGGGGACTATACCCATTTGGGAATGAGGTCAAGCTTCTTGAGTAAAGATGCTGTTGAGCAGCAGGGTGGGCAATATACTGCCAGCATACCTAGCTTATTCCTAACTCCCAACTTCAAATAAAGGATATATTGTGAAATTGATCAATATTGTTGCTCCCGATCTCTCTTGCAGGAAGCGATAATGAACTCTCAAGTGGTACGGGTGATGTATCCAAAGATTGTCCAGAGAAGATATTGTATTCTTGGGGAGAATTGTTGGGACGATGGTAAGAGTTAATGAGAAAAATGTTTAAACTACATTTTAAAAGAAACTTTCAGAACTGCAGAGTAAGAAAAAAATGAGGTTTTTTTTAGAAGTATTTAACTCAAATATGCAGATTCTCAGTCCTAGTGTTGAAAGCAGTTTGTGGAATCCCTCTTATTTTCACCAAACTGCAATTTAAAAAGACAAAATGGAAAATTATCATATCAATAGAGGGTAATGTTATTAACTATTTAATGAAATAGTTATGTAATTCTAATGAAATGTAAATTAAATTACTTTGTTCTGGCCTTGCCTATTTGGGAGAGTATGATCTAGTTTTGTGTATATAAACTGGGAGATCTGCCTTAGGCATGAAACCTACTGGGTGATCTTGGGCCAATCATTCTCTTTCAACCCTAGGAAGGAGAAAACGGCAAATCACAAAGTTTTGCCAAGAAAACTGCAGGGACTGAGAAATGGACATAACTTAATGGAAGAAAAATATATAAAAAGATCTATTGTCTGGATTGCATGCTTTTTTTTTTTTTGTATTTTTAGTAGGCTAGTTTTTACAGAAAAGAAAACCATTTGCTATTGGTATAGTTGGAACAATCACTGATCAGGTCATTTTGTGTTAGCCCAGAGTTGCTAGCAACCAGTCTTCCCTTCAGTGGGTCCTCTTCAGGTGTCTAATGGACCCTGTTGAGTTTCAGAGAAAACTTTTACTTTTTCTGCAGTTCTTAGGTACAATTCAACTAAGTCTTTGTCACTACCTAAAATGAAGGGACAGACATGGCTTTGAATTGGATCACAGGTACAAATGAAGAACTTGCTTGTTTTCTGATAAATTCGGGGAGATGAAATAACAGAAAAGATGTTTAAAATGGTGCTGGAGAAAGCAAATGTTGAATTCTAATTGTGCCTTTCGTAAGGTGACCTTGTGGAAATAAAAGCAGCAAAATGTAATCGTTTCCCACTGTCATGGTGTGCACAGATAATTGTCCCATAGACTTGCTTAGGGAAATTCCAGTCTTGCAGCTCCAAAAGGACCTGGAGGAAATGGATCCCTTGGGTTTCAGGCTGGGATATAGTATTGAAATGGTGTGGCTTATATTTAAATGTGACCATAGCAAGATCAAAATGGTGATAAAGCATCCATCCCAGTCCTCCATATTTTCTTAGCAGTCTCAATATCACATAGAGAAATATAAGAAACAGAGAAAAAAATTGAACAGAAAAAAAATTCTCTTTATCTTATCTAGGCATAATAATCTGGAAATGCGACCAAAAGGTCTATCTTCATTGGTGAAAAGAGGTGTGCCAGAGGCTTTGAGAGCTGAAGTGTGGCAGTTACTAGCAGGATGTCATGATAATCAAGCGATGTTGGATAAATACAGAATTCTTATCACAAAGGTCAGTGTCTTGTTTTCTTTAATACAATATGGCTATATATTTTAAAGCAGTGATCTTGTTTTTCAAATAAAATAGGTTAAAATTATGGTAGGTATACTTTGCTGTCTGCTCTGACCTTTCAGTGAGGAATAGTGCTTCTCTGTATGTGTGAAGTTGCATGATTATCTGTATACGATATACCAAATCTTTCATTTTTCTGCAGTTTTAAATACTGCACATTATTTAAGAGAATATTTGAGTAGTTAGGATGGTTTTAACTAGGAGCTGGTTATGACCTCTATAACCGTATATTCATACGAGCCAGTTATTTGAGAGATCACTTATTTTACTGTTATCTGTCTGGCCTGTTTGGACTGGTAAGATGGGTGTATTTTGAATCCCTCATTTTTTTTAAGATGGATGTCTTCTCATTGTGGTTCTTGTCCTTTGAAATGGGCTTCCTCTTGAAATCTGGGTGGTGCCATTCTTAATGGCATTCTGGAAGCCTTTAATCCTGCCTATCTCCTGGGCTTTGGGCTAGAATGGATGGAGCTCCTGCTAGATGTATGATTTCTGCTTTATGTGTTGTCTGGATTTGCCATCAGTTTATTGGTTCATGTAGATTGTTATTTTTACATTATATTGTGAGCCACTGAGAAGCAGCCTGCAGTCTGGTGATACCTCTGAATGAATGAATGAATATCTTGTTTTAGAGCTCTAATGCAGTTTAATTCATCTTACTTGTTTGGAGAGCAGAGTACATAATAAATCCTAGAATGAAACTTAGAATATAACAGAAAAAAATTCAAGAATTCCATAGTGATTCAATCAAAACAACTGTTTTATTTACTTACTTAGTGCTTTTGATGTTTGTAATGTTATATAATTTTCAAGGCTTATGTAAGAATTTTGCTGTTGAGAAAATTTTATAAAAAATAGTAATATGGGGTTTTTTTAAAGTTCAATTATAGATAGTACATTTGAGAGTGGCTGACATTTAGTTCTACTTTTGGTTTCTTTTAACATTACTGTTGCTGTAACAACTTCCTAACTTCCTTTCTTTAAGAAAGCCATTTTCTATAACAATAACATTCAATTTATGAATGTGACTTTCATTCTTGTCTTACTAAAAAAAACACCCCTTCCCATTAGATTTTGTGGGTGTTTAAATATTAAGTCTTCAACAGAACATTATAAATTAAACTTACTTAAACTTAACTGACATGAATATTTTTTTTATTAATGACATAATTGTGTCTTAGTTCCAAATTGGCATGTGAACATTAATGAATATATTCTGAAGGATTATATAATAGAAATAGAATTGTTATATAACAATAAGATAGAATTCTAATTGTTTTGTCTTTTGGCAACTAACCCGCCATGCTTTTCAGTCAGTTCTTCCTTGTTTTCTCTATCATGAAGATCAATTGGACAAGCCAGGAAACCCCATTCATGATTTTAATATTACATGTGACTTGACTTTATAATGATGAGGATGATGTTATTCATTCAGTTGTCAAGAAATTCTATGGGCCAGGTTCTCTCCACATCTTCCGATCTTGCAGTACTACTTTGAGTTTTTCTATGCTCTGGCTGGTGTCAGCTTTGATGATATTCAGCCACCATCTTCTTTGATGGCTTGGTTTTCTTTTACCACTATCTCTTCCAAACAAAATTGTTTTCTTGAGTGAATTCTGCTGAATGACATGGCCAAAATAAGTGAGTGAAATGGCTTATTCCTCTCTTAACAAGCCAGAGCCATAAATAGGTAAAGTTTATTCTTTGATTATCATTCGAACTTGCTCGAGCACTGTAAATCAAAACTAGACAGAATACTGTCATATCAAAATTGATTCAGCATACAATTTTTTGCTGAAAAATTGAAAATGGAAGCATAACCATATTTTTATTGTGAAACTGTTTTTAATAACATATTTTAGTGATGCAGTTGAATATAGTACATTTGCTAATAATTTAATAAATTTAGTAATAGGTTTATTAGTAAGCACTTTGATGTGAGAATGGTGAGGCATAAAAAAATAATACAAATTGTTTTTCATATATTGTAAGATTACTGTGAGATTGCTTTTCCTTCATTATGTCTTCAAGATAAACATACCAAATTCCTTCCAGTCCTATTCCATGTACATAGATTCTGTGCCTATCATGAGCCGTAGTGGCACAGTGGTTACAATGCAGTATTGCAGGGAAATTTTGCTGACTGCTGATTGCCAGCAGTTCGGCAATTTGAGTCTCACTAGCTCAAGGTTGACTTAGCCTTCTAACCTTCCGAGATTGGTAAAATGAGGATCCAGATTGTTGGGGACAATATGCTGACTCTGTAAACCACTTAAGAGAGGGCTGTAAAGCTCTATGAAGTGGCATATATGTATGTCTAAGTGCTATTGCTATTGCTATCACCATCATTATTGTCCTTATCTATATTCTACTTTGTCAGTACCAAGATCCTTGGATTGCAGTACCCAAAATTGAGACATGTTTTTCATGCAAGGTCTGATGAAAGCAAGCTGGGTGGTACTGTTTCTTTATATAAAGTGGATACTTTTTCAACAAAGCCATAAAAATATGTCCTATGTTTATTAGGTGGAAGTAGTTTATGTGACATAAGTATAAATTTAATGATCTTTAGCTTCATTAGAGGATATATTACATACCATCCTAGAGCTTGAAATTTTTATCCCTTTTTTCATTTAAGACAATAGCTCACTAGAGCCTGAAAGTGGAAGGACTTTCATTGTGTCTTATTGAACCCTGTTTCCGACTAGGAATTCAGAGTCAGCATCTGGCAATTACTGTCTTCAGATAACAATCCAGAATTTCTGGCTTTTTTTTCTGAGTTTCTGTGCTTTGAAACATAGATTGTAGTTCGTGAGGTAAAATGTGAACGTATTTTTGACATTTGTTCTATTCAGTCTTTTTCTTCCCATCTATATTCTTTGTACAATTTAAAGCTGCTCAAAATCTAGCAGTGTTAGAAATGTGCCATTGATTTCCTCCCCCTTCCACTGCCACATCATTGCATGAACTTTCCTGCTGTTCCTATAATAAAGCCCTCCCTTCACCTTTTAAACAAATCCTTGCCTCCTTTTAAATTTTCTAAATTGTTAATTTTTATATTCTTTTTTTATATTTTACCATTTTACTGTATACCTTCAGAATCCCCCCCCCCGAGTAGATGGTTCAATAATGTAAACAAATAAATTGTATATAAAATAGGTAATATACAGTAGAATCTATTCGTAGCATATAATTTATTAAATAATACAAATGTAGTTATATTATCCTGGGCTGTTAAAAAATATTTAAAAAATACAGTTGGGAACTGTATAACTCTGCTGGTCAATGTATAGTAAACATGAGTATTGTATACTTTATCCTGAGAATAACAAAAGCATGAAAAAACATTTCATATGCTCCTCAGAAAAAAGCCAATATATTCTGTAACTAGTTCTAAATAAAGATTTTCATCAGGTTCATTTTAAATAATACGGGTATTCCTTGAATGCTCTCTGCTATAATTTCTTTGTTTTCTAGAATGTTCATGATGTGCATCATAATTACAACATTAACCAACTAGTTATTATAGTAACATGGTAGTGCTTGCCCAGCCACCTGATTCCGCTTAGCTGCCTGTGTGCCCTCCTGACCCTGCCAGCTACCACCCCCTGGATCAACTGTGCTTGTATTGTGCTGCATTAGCCACTTGTACATCTGGCAGCAGCCACTCCTGCCTGGCTGTGCTTTTTCTGGATTGCAATGGCTGCTTGCATACCCTGCCACCCCCCCGCCCCCACAGAGCACCTGTCCCATGTCTGGCCATGCTGTGCCACAGCAACCACCTACCTGCTTGAAGGCTGCTTGTAAGCTGCCTGGAAGTCACAAGTTCCTGCTGACTTCCCCATTGTTTTTGCCTATTGCAAGTTGATAGGGAGTTGCACGGAAGTCCTCTCGTAAGAATTCATGATCTTTGGTTAACCACAGAAGTGGGAATTACCAGGATTTCCACTATTGCAACTAAGTGGCATGATCACATGATGTCATGCTTTATGACAGCATTATTTAGCAACAGAAACCTGGTCCTGATTATCATCATTAACCAAATACTACAGGTTTATATTTGCTGAATACCTGCCACAGTTAATTGTCCTTTTCCACAAAAGATTCTTTATTTTGGCTTGCTGTGATATTCTCCTTTCAACACTCTTAGGGGGAATGATAGAATTAAACTAGCTTCTAAGACTGTTTATGTCTACATAATAACTGATCATGTTCTTTTGTACCATCACTATTATAGAGATAGATGTAGAGTCTTATTTTTCCACTTTTGACAGAAATGTAGCTGCTAAAATCAATTTGTACTTTTTTCTTTTTAAGGTTCCTTTGTAACACATTATATTGGAAAGTTTGTGTAGCATTTTGAATGTTCCATAGGGCATTGTAGATATAAATTTTCCACAGTTTAACTTTAACCCATGATATCAAATCAAATGCAGATATAAAATAGATGAAACTGCATGAGCTAGGTTTAGTCATATATTTCTTTACTAAATATTGTAAAACAAATGCATGACAAATGGGAGAATAATTAATAAATCCACAATAGATAGACGACTGTTACTATTCATATATAAGTTGCATGTAAAAATTCAGTTTAGTTCACAAGACCATCTTGTAGAAACAATCTCTTTAGTGTGAGAAGTGAGATGGGTTGGATTCTCTCTCTATCATTATTTAATGTTAATATAAATTCCTTAGTGGTCTACCAGAACACTCCTGATTTTCCCCCACCAAAGTTAGCATATAGATAGATCCCCATGTCATGTCCCTGTTGGAGCCTGAATCCTGAAGAGGGAGACGAACAGCTGACAGGGAATGGGAGTGTGGCTCTGTTGGCTGTGGAAGAAACTGGGGAAGGGCAAAGTCCATCTGGGCAGAGCAGGGGAGAGGTAGAACAAAGGGAGGGGGAGTTCAGAGGAAGACCCAGGCCCACCCCCTCT